ATTTTTTAACCTTTATTTCAAGAACAAGACAGCGTAAAATACAAAATATTTAGTGCGTATTAATGATGAAGATCATTTGCAAAACAGAACTGACTTTTTTTATCGTGGTAGACTCGAAAACATTGTTTCCTTTGTGAATGAGGGTTTCAGTGTGAGAGAATAAGAGAAACAAAACCAAAAATTCACCCACTACAACTTATGACTGAAACCGGTATTTCAATATGTTGAGGCCGTTGTTTAATACGTATTTTGCAAGAAACGCAATCACCGATTACTCAAAGACGCGCAGCAATGTATAACGATAGGGAGAAAAGCACGAGGGTGCCTCCAACGTTCAGAAATGCAGCGATACGTTTTAAAGAAACCTATGGCGTGTGTACTACTTTAATCCGACAGCTAGTGAGCTCCCTGTTTATCTCCTGTAGTCTTGGGTTTCCATTGACTTGGGCTCTTCTTTTAGGTTTAATCAGAGCAGGATGGGGAGGATAACCGTTGTCAGAAATAATATGGCAGCCAGCAGGAGATCTAGAGCACACTGCGGACCAATCCTTGGCATCATGTTAAATCCATTAGTGTCGTTGAGATGTCCGGGGAATCTGAAAATGTAAGGAATACTAAAACTCAGTAATAAATCTAAAGCAAAACCTGGACGCATAGGCTGGCTTCACACCCGACCGCACGAATTTTTAATCGTTCACTTTTATGACATTTCAGCAATACATATCATTTCCAAGTTTACCAAAATAAAACAGTAGTAAGTACTTACGCAGCCGAACAATTAACTATCATCTCATCTGGAGTAACGATGACGTGGCTTGACATGAAGTGTTTCTTTTTGTCGCCTCTATAAAACATTGCCTGTCGTTGAGATGGTGGCCATATTGGATGAGTCGTTGCATCAATTATCCCAACACAGGACGGGAATTTTTTCCCGTGCCCCAGCCAACCTCTACACTCTTCTAAAGTTGGCCAAACGACTTGTCGCGAATATTTCTCAAGTAGAAGAGGAACTATTTCTTGTATTATTTTGCTTACATATGTAACGTCCACTTTAAACATCATGGCCAGGGTTTGCATTCTAAGATATCTTCTCAGCCAAATAAACACTAGGAGGAGYCTGTTTGTAATATTCAATCTTTGAACTCGTATCCTGCGACGGACTCTGTTGCGACGGTATGTCCGGTCGTGAAATATTATTGACATTCGCATGTCCACAACGACCTCACCAAATGTCTGAAGTGTCTCGCCAGTTAGATACCAGAATTTAATGGGAAAGCTAGCAATGTAATGATAATAGTCATGGCCTCCATTAGGTTCTTCGATTCCTGTAAGACCAAGTCGATCAATGACATCATTTGTTTTACACATGTCCAAAACGCGAATAATACATATCAAGATGAAGAAGATTTGACTGAAAAGATGAAACGGGAAAGCTGGGAAGTCATTCCCGGCAGGCACCTCGAAGCTTCAAAAATTGGAGGAGAACAAAGTAAGCAAGAATGAAGAACGTTGGCAAAACCGGAGGCGGCATCTTGTTTAGAGCGGTTGTTGAGAATTAGCTTTTCAGAAGATACAGCGTAGTGTTCACGAGATTATATGCAATTCTGCTATCGTGTGTGCCAAAAATGCATAGGTAAGAGCATTGTATCGTGCTTGATGACAATAGCGTGAATCTACAATCGAGTAATTTCTCGGCTTCGGATATTTAACCTTGGCAAAAAATAGTTATCACATAATATTGTTCAAAGGTTATAATGTAGTTTTTGAACAAGTAAAGTTGTCACCTCGTGCATGAAGCTCGCTTGATCAGTGCATGACACAAGAAGGGACGAGAAATAGTGCGAAAAAGATCTGATGCTGACGCAGGTAAGACTTTGTCAAAGGAGGTTCATATTTTGTAATGACCCCATAATAGGGGGTGTAATTGTTTACACAGCTTTTAGGATATGATTGAGCAAATTTGTCTTTGCATTTCTCTGTTTTGTGCAATATATGAAAGAAACTACACATTTTTTTTCAAGTGTAAGTTTAAGGGTTTAGTGCGTGCACACTATCATCGATAATAATTTTATTATCCATGATATAATTTGCTAACTGGAGCGTTTATCCGTCAAAGGAGCTGCCTTGATCCCTGGAACTTTAAACTGAGAAACCTTAGCATGACATGTATTAGAATATAATAACTACGAACAGCTAAACAAAATCGTGAAAGAGCACATGAAAATCATAATATTTTTATTATTGGTATTCTTCGTCGCTTGGGAAAATAAACCTTCAGAAGACACTAATTCCATAGTTTTCTTTCGTGCTTGTTTGTCTTTTCACTTTCTGTGCATGCATGTTCAGGGGATTCAGTAAAACCGTTCTAATGCGGCGCGTGTATGCATAACAATAGATGACTTAAGTGGGTCAAAACCAGACATGAGACAAATGTCCTATACATAAAAGGTCTATTTGCAGCACAATAGAGATTTTTTTGTTAACGTTTGCAGCCGAACTGGAGAACAGCAAACTCGATGGTACAGATACGAAAGTACAAGGAAATAAGGTGAAACCCCTCGACGTTCGCATTTCAATCCTCTGTGCTCTTCCTGGAATTTTCCTAGTGAAAAGAAAAGCTTGTGAGAAAACTCGAATTTATGAAGCAAAAATGCTTGCACGCATATCTTACATTATACATATGTGTGCTGTGTTGTTTACTAACCGTATGTTGAAACGTTTGTTTCAGCAACCTACGTGTCAAATATAAACTGTGTTCCTGTTCTTTCCGGCCAGATAGCCTTACTTAACAAAGGGTTATACTTTAGCAAACAACAGGCGAAGAAAGCTATTGAGAAGTTTTCTACTATAAAAAATATAGAATTGGATAAGCTACCAAACGATTGGTATCCGATTGATGACGATGATCTCCTTGAAGAAGACGATGAAGCGAGTTCTGATGCAGAAGATGATACGTTTGACACTTCCAAGCCCGTGCTGTTACCAAATGAAAAATTGAGCGTGCCTTTACAATCCAACCTATCTACAGATACTGTGTGGGTATGGGTTTTTCCAGACGATATCAGCCAGTCAACATTAGATGGTAGAAATGGCAGCAACGCTTGTACAGTTATTTCCCTAATACTTGCAGATTTGCTAAAGTCGTCTCACATTCACCTTCAACCCACTGATATCCTTCCACTAGAATGGTCAAACATGATGATATATTCCATTAGACAGGGGAACAATTTGTATGACCTCTCACGCAGCAGCTTGCCTCATCGCTACCTATCAGTCTCTGAAGCAGCAGTGGTTGTTAGTGATATTATTGATGTTAACGTTTCCCAACCCTTGCCTGTAAGAGTTGTCGACACTCACCAACCCTCAACACTAAAGAGTAATATCAGCCAACTTTGTTTAAGTTCAGGAGATGATGAAAATAGTGATGCCGTTCTTGTCATGAACAATCTGAGTGTTCTTTTTGTTGGGATGAAAATAAAGTTTGTAATTCTGATAGATACTCACAGTCATAACCCATGTGGTGCAGCCATAGTTCTAGGGACACTAGATAATATAGACGAGTTTGTTGCAATGTGTAAGGAAATTGACTGTGAATATCAGAGATGATACTATGTACGGTAATTTTGTGAGTCTGATATTTTAAAACTGAAGTATGCGTGAACTATTGAGTAGTTTTGTGTCTTTTACGATTGTAGTATATAACAGATTGTAAAGCATATTTAGTTTTATTAAATGTACACAAATTACGAGATTAAAAAACAATTTCAAATGATAAACGTCTTACTTATCACTTTGGCAGTCTAAATGAACATTTCACTGATGGCTTCCCTTGTAAAAGGGAGTTGGTTCGATTCCAACAGAAATGAAATTGACTGCTGGAGTAGTAAGTTTCTGGCGGTTGATAACTGACACGGTTTATATTATTATGTTTTAATTTCGTACTCCTATATTAGTGATTAATCATCGCATTGACAGTGTAAAGAGAGAGCGATTTGTTATACAGTTATCACACGAGTAAGTAAATCCGCCGATCCGCGCAAGTTTAAGCCCAAATCTACGCCAATCCGCAATTAATTTCAACTCAAATCCGCGTATTCAGAAAACGACCCAAAATCCACAATCCGTGCAAGAATGGTTTTCTTAATCAGTGACCCGCTATGTCTATAGGACCAGCGAATCCATTTATAAATTTTAACTGGAAGTCGCGATCCTTGCGTTTTTTAGGGCCACCTCGCTCGAACCTATATTCACCCACAATGGACAGTGAAATGATTGCACAAACTACCATATATGGGGTTCACTTCAATTTCATGTCTCCGTCACTGTGACTAGCTTTGCCATGAACTGAACCCCAGCTGAAAGTGGCCTTTTCCCCTGGGGGAAAGGCCAGAATGGGAATTACTGTGAGACTTTAATAAAGGGGTGAGTCTCAGCTTGAAAAATAACTGGTTTGAAAAATGAAGCACTATTTTCGTGAACTAGTGATCAATCGGCAAGGGTGGATCCAGGGGGGGGGGAGGGGACTGAAAACCCCCTTCAACAGAAAAAAAAACCAACAAAACAAAACAATACTGAAGAATTAGATACTTTTGTTATTGTTTTCCGTCGTGTTGACCGAAGAAACTCAATTATTCCCCCCTAAAATTTTGCCTGGATCCGCCCTTGCAATAACTGCGTATATATAATAGTTATTTGTTTTCTTGACACTCATAATAATAACAGAACCATCTCGTATTTCCTTTTTTATGTTCCCGTTTGCAACACGAAACAACGGACAATGATACAAATCAAAATGAAATTACTGGGGTGTCAGTGAAAGGGCATTAGGGACAATATATATCTTGATATATAATATCGATACTGAATTCAGCACGAGATGAATGAGTTGTGAAAAACGATATTCACGATCCATTCATATATAAAATGAATGTCAGTAAAAAGTGTTGTCAATGACATTGGTATTTGCATGTTTCTCGTTGTGCTTCATTACATAAACTCATTCATGGAAACTATATCTCGTGTTTTTCAGGCTGTCGGAACATTCATTAGTATAGAGTCATTTTCGTGTGAGTGGCGGAAACTTTCAATAGTTACGAAACGGTTACGGCAGGAATTTTGAATGTTTTTATTGAGATTACTACGATACTGATTTAAAACCTTAAGAAAGATGACGAGGACCCCGCCCCCTTATAAGGGAGTCCCCTGGAGCGATATATAGCATCAACTTCATTTACGTAGCCTGTGGTCTTTCTTTTATTATCATTATTATTATTTTGTTCTCGTTCCGGTGACAGTGAGTACATACACAGAAACTGATAGAAAAGAGGTCCAGACGTGTACCCAATGGTTAAGCATTGTGTAAAGTGTAGCCTACACTGGTGCCAGACTTCAAGGCCGTGTGTCTTGACTGTTGTCCCTTTGAAAGATGTGGATGAGTCACTTGGAGATGACTGGCAAGACTGCCGATGAGAAGAGAGCAGCAGTAAGGGGGACTCGCGGTCACCATTTGGGATTGCCCGGGAATTACCCGTGTTTACGCACTAGCGTCCCCCGCGGGAATTACCCGTGTTCTGTTAT